AAAAAAAAAAAAAAAAAAAAAAAAAAAAAAAAAGTAACATCAGCCAAGTCAGGGCAGCTGGAGCTCAGGGGAAGAGGAGGAGAGACCTACGGAGTTCACGAAGGCGGGAGAAACTACGATGAGAGAAAGAAAAAACTGCTCTGAGCATTTTGGGCTGTGGTTGCTGTAAGGCTCGAGCTGATGAGCGCACGGAGCAGGAGCCAGCAGGAGCCGGCAGAAGCCGCAGCTGTGCCCTTCAGATGGAGTTGCTTGGAGGCAGAAGGGGAGAAGAGGGCCTTGGCAGTCCCCAGGACAGCAAGACCACTAATAGGGTTCCCATGGACCCACGCAGGAGCGAGGAGCCAAAAAGGGAGCCATTAAGAGGATGGTGAGTCATCGCAAGGGACCAGTGCAGGGCCCATGCCATGGGAAGTGTTTGGAGCATGGGCGATGGGGGAGACGTGCCCACCAGGGGAATACTGGGACACAGCAAAGACAGCTGATCTGCCCCCCAATCAGCACAGGACCACTCAGAGGAGTCTGGTCAGGAATGCAGAATTGCATGGGGTACAGTTTGATGAAAAAACTCAGGCCCAGATCAGAGATTCTACAGAACACAGATCCACCAGGTCTCTGGGGAGCCAGAAGTACCTATATGATCAACCATTAAACCCTGAGCTGCATAAAAAGCCTTCCCCAGGGAAACAGCAGCAAAGTAGCAATTTCGGTCAACCATACAGCTCAAGTGCTGGTTCCCACAGGAAATTCCCCCGTGTTAGAAGAAAAGGACAAAAAATTAGTTCCAGCCCAGGCACACCACATCAGCACCTTGGGGCCTGCCTGGGGACCCGAGGCAAGGAGAAGGGGAATGGACCTCTCATGCTGGTTCCCACAGGAAATTCCCCCGTGTTAGAAGAAAAGGACAAAAAATTAGTTCCAGCCCAGGCACACCACATCAGCACCTTGGGGCCTGACTGGGGACCCGAGGCAAGGAGAAGGGGAATGGACCTCTCTCCCACAACCAGGCACACCAAGCCAGCGCCTTGGGTCCCACCCAGTAACCTGAGGCATGGAGCCAGGAACCAGAACCTCCTCCCACAACAAGGCACACCACGACAGTACCTCGGGGCCCATCCAGGGACCTGAGGCAAGGAGAAGGGGATGGGACCTCTCTCCCACAACCATGGACACTGTGCCAGCACCTCGGGGTCCGTTTGGCCCAGAGGCATGCAGAAGGAGACTGGCCCTCTCTCCCACAACCAGGTACACCAAGCCAGTCGCCTGAGGTATGGAGCCGGGGACTGGACCCGCCTCCCACTGCAGGCACGAAACGCCAGCAGCTCGGGGCCCACCTGGGTACCCGAGGCATAGAGAAGGGGACTGGACCCTCCTCCCACAACTAGGCACATGGCGCCAGCGCCTTGGGGTCTGCCCAGGGACCAGAGGCATGGAGAAGAGGACCAAACACACCCCACAACCAGGCATACCCCAGTGCAAAGGAGCATACCAAAAACAGCACCTCCACATGGGTGGCCCACCACAGCCACTACAGTAAACATGGCTGCTGCAAAAGCAGCTAGATGCCACAACCACCATGCAGATGGTCCGCCAACCACTGGAGTGCATTGACACAAGGAGAGTCACCGGCAGAGACCAAAGAAAAGAAGAGGATGTCTCTTTCCACAAAACCCATTTCAGAGTGGCATAAGAAGCATCTGCTCGGTGATAATATTGGGGGACCTGATCACATCTCTCAGCATTGGACAGATCATCTAGGCAACAAATTAACAGAGTAACCATTATTCTTTCAGAAGGAGGGAAGAAATCTAGGGCAACTAGAGGGTGGAGGGGGAGGGAGAGGGGATGGGGAGAGATTGGACAAAGGGCATAAAGAATAATTACGATTTGTAACAATATATATGCTAGTAATATTGATTTAATCAACATATCTCAATGTTCAACCCCAAAATATGTATAATCAATTTTGATTCAATAAATAAAATAAATTTAAAATAAAATAAAACAGTGCTAACTAAAAAAGAAATAAAAAATTTAAATTTAAATTTAAATTAAAAAAAAAAAAAAAGATAACTCTGGAACTTGGGTTTTTCCCCCAAGGGCATATGCTGCTTAGTGGGTTTTTCTGAGGCTTTCAACATCCACTTATGTCTGAGGTAACAAAGATTTGTACATAAGACCTGTGGTGGTAAAGGAGAATTCTGGTGAAACCCCCTTGCTTGGGGTTTACATACCAAAGAAAAACACCCTATGATTTAGAGTGATCCAGAAACAGGCTTGCCAAAGACTTTGTTCAACTTCAAATCATCAAATCTTAAAGTTGGATTAAAATAATCCTAGATAGCCAGTGCCTCCAAGTTCCTTACAAAAAAAACATTAATTGTTGGATTTATCTTGACTTCCACAAATAATTCTGCAAAAACAACACCTGACACACTACAGAAAATAAACAGATATGTAAGAGACAACATGAACAAAACAAGAGAAACAGACAATAGAATCAGCTCTATAGTAGCTCCATCAATTAGAAACACCAAGTATCACATACAGACTTTAAAGTAAAATACTCACTAGTAATAAAAAATAAAAAGAAAGCTTGCTGGTTAGCTCGGGTGGTTAAAGCACGGTGCTGATGACACCAAGGTCCAGGCTTCAATCCCTGTACCATCAAGCTGCCAAAATAAACCCCAAGTTTTAAAAATAAAAAGACTGAGAAGTTCAGCAGAACAGGAAACAAAAAATATATGAATGGATATATAAAACTAAAA